AACCTTGAATCTGACCCAAGACGCAAGCAATAACCAGTGCAGGGGAGCCGAAACTGGGAATATATGATTGAATTTACTTGCACAACTTGGTTGCCGCATTCTGAATCTGTTGCAGTCTTTGGGTCAGCCTCAAGGGAAGCCCCATACAATCTTTTATAGGTAGTTTTCATGAACAAAGTAGTAACTGAGTTTAGAGAGAGAGAGAGAGAGAGAGAGAGAGACTGTATTCAGCAGGTTTGAGATTTATACGAGTATTTCTGTCCTGAAAAGGCTGGACATAATTATGACGGCACAAATAAGCAGATATGTCTAATATTCTAATTTATATGACTACAATCTGATTTTAAAATGTTTATACTCTGAAAAGGTCTACACACTGATTTGAATATGAGTGGGAAAATTATCTTTTTCTTCACAGGGCCTTATACAGTATTCAAATAATGACTGCAGTTAGAAATACCGAACAACTTAAGATAGAAAACTTGTTATTTTGTTTTCTCATTGTTCTTTAATGGAGTTCAGCCCAGAATCTATCAGACAAAGAATCTAATGACCCTATAAAAGAGCCATAATTTAAATGGTTCTGTCCATAAAATGGAAAAGAAATAGCCTCAGGAGTCTTTCCAGTTTGGAATAAGTAACAGTTTCTTAGTTTTTCCCCTCTCTTTAAATCAGCTAAACAAAAAGAGAAAGGGAAAAAAGGTACTGATTTTTCCACAGAGGGACATTTTATAGAAAGAACCTGCTGGCTCAATTAGGTCAGTGAGTGGACTGGACTGTCTGGCTGCAGAGCCAGAGGCTGGGAGTTTGATTCCTCACTGTGCTTCCTGTGGGAGAAGAGCCAGCCTGGGTAGCTTTGGGCAAACTGTACTGCCACAGGGTGCCCTTGGAAGAAGGGAGTGTCAAACTATTTCTGAGTACTCTATACCTGGAAAACAGTGGAAAGGATAAATGTTAAACTCAGAATTGACCTGAGGCCATGTAATTGTTCTATAAAGAAAGAAATGATGTCAAGTTTTCCAAAGGATAATTCTTCAATAAAGTGTTTGTTGTTATGTTAGTATCAGGAGTGATGGTTTAAATTTTCAAAGTTCTGCTTTAAAATATTGGTACTGTGAACATGTCTCTAAAATAGAGACTTCTGTGAACAGGCAGCAGCACTCTGCTCTATAATTTTATGGAAGTAATTTCCATCCAGAATGAGAATATGTAAATCTCTCCCTGTCACAGTAAGTAGTACTGTATAGAGTAGCAAGCACTCGAACTAATTACATAATACTTTAGAGTTTATAGTACACTTACCACCAACATACATTCAGAGGTGCTGAAAAGCATATCTAACCAACCATCTCTGAGCACTCTCTCTGCCCAGAGTTGTCTGGCCTGCATTGTTAATGTGCTAACTACTTTCTGTCAGTTGCAAGAAGTTAGAAATATTAACATCTAGCAAGTATTGGTTTTGAGGTATATATTTTTCTAATGAGTATACAGATTGCCATTGCAGCAGTAATTTCTACAAGCCACTGTGGCTTGAGCTTTGGTTTACGCCATAAATAAAATAAGAAAGTCCTATGCCACCTTAAATACTAACAAATTAATCATGACTAAGAGCAATGCTTAGAAGGACACAAGGCAAACAGTTCAAACACAGCATCTTGTGTTTTGCCTTGTAAGAATGAGAAAACTGGCTATAGTTTGATTTATACTTCGTGTGTGTGTGTGTGTGTGTTGTATGCATGTGCTAAAAATGAAACATATATGTACATAAAAAATAAACATTATAATCAATATGTAGGTCTTGGCCCTGAGAGGCTGTTAATTTAACATCTAACAGAGAGAATACCACAGAGAAGGTGGAAATAAAAGAACGCCCCGAGTAGACATGGTCCAGAGGGGT